AGTCTCTTTGAGGAAGAGTCCTAAGGCAGTCTCAGACTGTCATCCGGGAATAGAACGCATGAAAGGCAAGCCAGTAGCTATGCTCCTGGAGCATCACGTCAGAAGGCAGATTAGAATTCTAGACGTCTTTCACCAAAGAGTTGGCCATTGCCACACCGACCTGGAGATAGAATCCATATCCATTGTGCAAGTCCATTACAGGGAACCTATCATCTTATCGTTGTTGATGCCAATCCCAAGTGGCCGGAGATCGTCGCAGTATCGCCCGTTTCATGACAACGAACAATTGCTGCATTTGCGAATATTTTCACTTGCCATGGGTTGCCCGAGACCATTGTTCCTGATAATGGGTCACAATTCACTTCACCCGAGTTTCCTCAGTTCTGCCACATGAATGCAATCCATCATATTCGTACATCGCTGTACCATCTGTAATTCAATGGTTAGGCAGAAAGATTTGTAGATACCTTAAAGCGACCCTTAATCAAGACAGAAACACTGGGACAGGATACCGATGTCATTCAACAATTTCTACTCATATATCGCTCAAATGATGCCTCATCTGATCGTAAATCTCCGGTGGAAGTTTCAATGAGATGGAAGCTACGTATCACATACCACGCGATAACACCATCACGTCGTGTAAAAACAACACAAACAGTTGGATCACACTTCAATAAGAAAGACCACCCTTTTGTATGATTCAAAACTAGGACAAGGCATATGGACGGAAGATGTTGTCATTGGTAGACACGCGAGTGTGATGTACGACTTAAAGGTGAATCAAGAGAAAAGGGGGAGCCACAAGAATCAGCTACTTCACAGAAAAAACAACCAACCAGAGAATCCGATCACACCACTCCATATTCTACTTGATATGGTTTAAATTACCAACTAAGCCAAAAGGACCCGAAACCGATATTAACCAATAGCTTCAACACAGAAAGAGAAAGGATCGGGAGCGATTTCAAACAGCGTGTTTCCAAATGGACACAAAAAACCGAAGGTATTATTGTTTTCTTTTTCCAAAAGCGGAACTGCTGGGAAACCTCAGATTTCCATAAAACATTGTGTATTCATCTTAACATCTATAAATTGTCGTTTCCGTGCCATTTTCTACAACACGGACAATAGTTCATTTTTGACACCATTTTCACGGTAATTAGCTGATTCCTCAATCATTACTTTTAATATGTTGGTGTCCCAAATTCTGGAAAAACTATTGTCACACATTTTCACACGTCTTTTGCAATTAACTGACTGTTCTTCTCACACGAATAAATTCCCCCATACAGTTCAACCTTCTTCTCTACTTCATCCAAGTTGAGTCAGTGGATCTTGCGTACAAACGAAGTTAGCTATCACTCAAGTCCGCCTATTATATTCCCAAGGAATATACAACAATCAGTGTGAAGCCTGAAGACAGCTAATTCAAAACCATGTTGTTCGCTCATATGCTTCCTTCTAATACACTATTTCTCATCATGCTTGAAGTTAATGCTGTCCTCACACAAATGAATACCATAAGGAAATTAAAACAGACGATCAGCGTTGTCGGTTGTTGGCATCGCATTACGCAAACACAATCAAGATATCTTCTCAACTACCTCACCTCGCGCATTAACCAACCCTGATGCCGTCACAATCTATCTCGTTCTCCCAGTTCAACGTTGCTCACCATCACCCTAAACACTCTTGACCAAGCTACTGATTAGGCTACCTTCGCTATTCATAGTGGTCACTGACAACTAGAAACAATCGTCCTCACATCAAAAGATAGACAACTGTATGAGAAATCTTCAATGAATAGCGTTGACTAACATCAGCAACTGTTGGGGGTTTAAACTTAAGCCAGGGTAGTTGGATAGTATGACAAGATCCCACCTACTAAGTGTGGCTCATATCCTGATACTGGCGACGTTCTACATGCGTCAATTCAGTCAGTGATTCCACAGAGTAGCTTGATTATCCTACTTTTTGATCCCTAGGTAGGAATAAGTAAACGTGAAGACAAAATAGTGAAAATAATATTACCAACAGTCACTAAGAGTTACAAGATCAAGAGAAAAGATACTCACAACTCACCAAAGATGTGCGGGTTCATGTACTAAGAAATAAGCAATATTTATTGAAAAAGAGTTTATCGTGCTACTAGTCTGTTTAAACCTCGGTAGCTGGAGCAAGATTTGAACTTGTGACCCACTAAATGAAAGTCAACTGCTTAGACAGACAAATGAGTCATATCTCCAAAGGATACTTCATCATAGCATTCTCAAGGTTCAGACAAAGTAATGACGTGAATATGTCTTATTTAATGAAATCAATTTCGGTTCTCTGGAACCGCAACCAAAACACTTGACACTTTCCACAACAGCTCAGAAAAAATGATCAAAGAATGCATGGACTTGTGAACAATGGTGTACAGAGGTACTATTCAATAGCTGATAGAATGTTATCTCTCTCTATAGTCTTAAAATAAGAGACACTTACTAGCCAAAAAAATCAACAGGCATAAGTATATTTTTTCCTACGTTAAATCAAACAACTTGAAAGAAAATCAACAGCTTTACTCCCGTAAAAAATTAATCCTAAATGTGCATCTCAAATCGATGGTAAGATGTAGTGTAGACCTCAAAACTACCTGACTCATAGACTATCAACATAATTTAAATTTTCCGATCATCAATAAACAATCTGAGTATTTTAGGATAGTACGAATTATCAGAATAATGGAGTTGGGAAACAATAGACATTGCTGTTCAAATACAGCTGTTTGATAAGGGAGAAACTGTACTCATCCCACCTGTACATCTTTCGCGTTACACATCTATTCTCTGATCTCGTTTAACTACATTGTTAGAGGCTGTCACACTTTTCAGGTTCAATAAGTGTTCAAAGGAACTGCTGTTATCAAAGATAAGCGTTGATTTAAAAATCAAAATATATGAAAATGAAAAAAACAAGTAAATTGTTAGACATACCTGATGCTAAAGGTAGAATTAAGGGCATGGAGCGGGGAACTATTATAGGTTGCATTGAAATTGAACCAGTTAATCCCAATGGAACAGGCGGTGCAACAGAAGGATATACGGATACCGCCAAACTTGTTGAAATGTTTGTACTGGATTTCTGAGAAGTTGGTGTCTGTACCTTCTTAGTTAACTTTACTTTGGGAGAGTTGGTCGAGTGTATTTTGTTGGTGTTATTGCTACTATTATTATTACTACCATCATTATTGTTATTACTACTGTTCATGATTAAACCCCTTAGTCTAGGATCAACAAGAGATTCTTCATCAACTTCTCCACAACCAGCTAGAAGTTCATCAAACTGAGGACTTGTAAGTTTCGTTAATTCTTCTACAGGTAAATAAGTACAGCCTTCATCACTATCCCAATAATTATTAAGATAGTCTTCTCTTGATTTGATACCGAAATTCGGTGCCCATGCGACTTTGATTTCTCTACCATTCATAGTAGACTGATTCATTTGAACTACTGCTCGATGTGCCGCTCGTCGAGTTGCAAATGTTACAAAAGCACAACCACGTGGCGGAATAAAATTACACTCGACAACCTGACCTTCAGTTACTTCGGAACAAAGTGTTCGAAGCCTGCTTTCTGCCAACTGCTTATGTAGATGACCTATAAATACTGTATGCGATAAAATTCCCACATGATCTGTTTTAGCGTTGGTAAACCAAGATGTTTTCTCCGTCGTTCCCGATGTTTTCCATCAGACTCAGTTGGTGATAGTGAACCACGCTGAAATAAGCTGTCGTCGAACCGACGACGAATAGGACTCAAAATAGATGATTCAGAGGAATAATCATCAGGAAAATTATCTGACTGACCATGTTCACTATCTGAAACCTGGTGTTTATGAAATTCGAAGAAGCTTGGTCGATGAGAATGAGGGACTAGTCTATCATCATATGAATCCAATCTGAAAAGGGAATGAAAAGTTTGGAAAAAATAATCATTCGGCTCAGTTCCACAACCCTTTCAGAAACTATTTTTAAAACTATTATGATTCGAAACACTTAAAATGAGGCAAGAAGCAAAAGACAAGAGATCGTGTGAAATTGTGAAACTTCACAGACTGAGATAGTTTGAATATACGCGAGCCAGGCCAATACCTACCTCGACGCGTAAGATTAACCGAGGTAAGGTGGGATGGGAAGAAAAATAAGAGTGACCAGACCAAAACATGACACTAACCAATGAAGTCTCTTAGCTGCGTAGATTAACCGGTTAAGGTCTCTGGGAGATAGAAATCAATGGTTGGAGACCCTTCTCGATATGGTATACTATCAGCCACAGTGGTACGAATGTATACACTCTCCGTCATCTTCGCAATCTTGAACATTTTTATTAACCATCGTCTATCCATCTCCGCAAATTCATACACTTTTGTCTCCTTCATATAACTTTTGTACACCTGTTCTTGGCGTCCTGGTGTGAAATGTGGCAACTTCAACTGGTACAATAGTATGTCAAATTTTACTCTGATTTGTCTAGCTGTGTGCGTAGAGAAGAATCTGGTTATCTCAATTCGTATTTCCGATATAGATTCCTATAAGCCCAAGTGCGCTTAAAATTAACAACCGTACAATATTAGGACGTATGATCATATCAGGTGAAGTCTAATCAGCAGCATGCACGAATCATGATGAATTTTCCTACCTCAAAAGATAAGCTACATATACTTAAGTTGTACAACTTTTTACTTCCTTCATCCCTACGGTCGGTGACTTGAAACGTCTGCTGACATCTGTTACGGCCAGCGTGTTGCCATTCAACGTTTGGGGTAACTACTGCTCCTTGGATCCTATAAGCTCCACGTTATAACTCATACTACGGCGTATCACGAGAATCTTGACTATCGCCGAGATAACAGGTCGGATATTGACCACTACTTAGAGCCTGCCTGCCCGTTGGTTAACTATCCGTAAGGCGGTATGTTGGCTTATCTTTTGGTCACTCTATTTTAAATAGTATTGGTTTGTCCAAAATCAAAAGTTTCTATCTCAACTGCTGTTTTGTCAATACTGTGATCAGCTCCTTGTTTCACAGTTCTATGCTATATTTGTCCTCGTGTCTATCGTGGAGAGTGAATCTGTAAGCTAATACGAGCGATCTTCGTGATCCTATAACGAGCCGTACCGACGAAAATTATGCTTATCTCGGCGTTCACCACAATGAAAGCTTTTTTGAGCAACCTAGGGAAACGCACTAGATTTATCTTCTAAAGTACGCCTAATTATTCTAAAACGCAAGCTTTGAATATTTGGCATTCAGATTTCTATACGAATCTACTCGAATGAAGTCAGTTGAAATATTGTTAAATCCAAAAGGATCCAAATAACTGAATCGCTATCGTTTACAAGAGCTTCCACAGCTTCTGTACCAGAAGACGACAATCTTGATAATAATATTAATTAAGCTGTGAGGATACTGATAGGAGCATCATCTGGGTACTGGAGCAGCGTACGGGTACAACGTAATAAGTGTGCACTGAAGTTTTTCGTTGGGCAATATTCGAATACACTTGGGGAGAAGAATGAAAACCGCCATCGGCGAACTATCCTGTTAACCAAGTTTTAATACAATCACACATTTTAAGAATAACTGAATTATATTTTGCTGATCGGAAGCCTGAAATAGATTGATTTTTTCTTAGAGAACGGGAAAATATTAGAACTGGCGAAAATAACAATGTTGTTGGTAGAATGGCGATAAGCACTTGTGATTGCAGTAAAAATGTGACTGGCATGAACTGCTATACACTAGGTTTCTTAAAGGAAAACGTCTGGCTACGAGCCCTTCGAATTCAGTCACCGAAGTTTATGCAGAAAAGGGTTTTGTCCACCGATTACCTGTTGACATAACCGTGTTTACGAAGTTTGTAACGTCAGACTTCACTCTATGTCACGTTTCACTGCATCGTTATCTCCTGATTTCAATGTGGACAGCTGCTAAAGGAAATTTGCCATCTCACTTACCATTGCGGAGAAGTATTAGATCATAATATGCAACTGCAATGAGAAAACTTGTTGACGAATGTATGGATACAGGCACTAAAATACAATCGGGACTTTGTCATGATTTTATCATGATTATCATCAAAATCAACATATGGCCAAACGTTACTGCGTAATGGTTCAAGTCGTCACACTTCATATCAGCAAACTAAGTAACAAAGCAATAGAAGGGAAGAAGAAGAAGAAGAAGGAGATAAAAATTGATCAAAGGAAGTGGAAGTAGTAAGAGAGAGGAAGGAAGAATGAGATGATGAGATTAGGTGTGGCGGTTAAGATGAGGGTAATGTGTTTATGCATCTGCACCACTGACATCGCTTCTAGGCCATATCAGCTAGAGTCTCCAACCACTGGTTTCCCTTGTTCTGTGGACCCCAACCGACTAGTCTCCATCGTCCTAAATAGCTCAACCGAACAGTCAACGACTTCATGCATTGATGCCGTGTTTTAGCCTGGCCACCCTGAGCTTTTTTTAGCCTGAAGTTAACAACCACATCAACTCTTAACTCTTACCTCTCCTGCCTAAAACTTTATGTCTGACTTATGTGTTACTCAAGTGGTGACACCACGAAATGAGGCCTATGCTACGGTGGTCAAATACCTGAAGCCTTCTCATGTCTTCTACCTTTAATGGCCACGTTTTACAGCCATACAGTAGGACATACAACACAGCACAACAGTATACTCAACCCTGAATAGACAATCGGATATCACGGCAGTGCCACAGATGGTGTAAGGTGGAGAAAATCAACCGAGCCTTTTGTATCCATGCAGAGATTTCGTCGGCCACTGACCCCCCAGAGCTGATCCGACTTGCAAGGTAAGTGAAGTGGTCAACGTGTTCGATCACTTCATTCTATTTTTAGTCGGGTTACAGTTGAAGACCAGTTCTGGAGCAACGAAAACTATATTTGCAAAAGAGAATAGGAGAGTCAGTATATTGAACGTATCGATCAGATCAACTTTCTTGGGTGTAGTAAGAGTAGATGACACTATTTCCACTAGTTTTTAAATGATCAAAGGGTATAAGTATTGGTGAACTCATGCTGGTTAGAGGGGTGGTGTTAAATAAACTACATCTATGTGTTTATACAGTTAATGTTTAGTAACCACTCACATACTTTCTCAGATAAACCGCATTTCATTACACCTTTCCTGGTTAATCAATATTTAAGCTTTACTGTTCACGTCTTTTGACTTGAAGCTGTTTTTGTGGCACAAATAAGTCCAGAGAAAGCCCCTCTAGTAGGTCAAATAAAAGAGAAACCAGGTTGATTCTAGTTCAAACTTTAAAGGTGAATTAATCAAATAGAGTGAAAGCGAGAAACAAAACTTTACGCAACTCGAAAAACAAAAGTTGAAGGTTAGTTCAACAAAAACCCACCCCGAGGATCAAAACAAATAATGGTTCTGAGTCAACTTTAATAGAAATGATGACAAACGAGCCAGTCAGAGAGATTAGACTATCTAACCTGTAAACAATGACCACAAACCACACAAGACAGATTTCTGGTAATAAAGTAATCAGGAAGAAGGTTACAACTCGACAACCCGCTCATCAACAAACCCTCTTTAAATACATGAAAACTAACGTGAACTTCACCATCCGGTCAAAATGCAACAAAGACGAAGTCTGGACCGATGTCAAAAGCTCAGAGCATGATATCCTTAGTTTAGGGAGCAACAAAATGCCCTGAACTTGAAGAAGTATCATGATGCACAGTACAACAAAATTTGTTTGGGATTGAAATAGACAAAGATTACGCAATAATCAGATCCCTTACTTGTACTCATACTATGATAATGAACAAAACGAATAAACGAGGATGCTACTAATGTATAGAATGTAAAAATGAATTCATCAAGATGATACGCAAAATACCCTGTAAACGCTTACACATCGGTAATACATACACGAATTTTAAACAGAATCAGCATACTTGAACGAAGGAAAACAGACATACCGAGTATATTTACGAACTCTTTGACCAGAAGAAGCATTCCAATCATCACAGCCTTCATAATCTGGAATAAGTCGGTTAACGTGTTCTCTGGATGGGTAAACTTGAGCATCATTGTGAAGACCGGAAATCGAGGAGTTGTCTGATTGTATAAATTCATCTACGTGACCGATCTCCTCTTCCCTACCTAAGTTATGCATTTGACGGGAATCATATATGTGATGTTTACGCGAACCATGGGAGGGATTGAAGTCACGAGAAGCGGCAGTATCTAAAGGCTAGAATAAACACAAAATGTAACACTACAATTATAACTTATAAGCTGATAAGCCCTCGTGGGATATAAGATAATAAAAAGATGCTAACACTTAGGATACTAAAGATTTAGTAATCATGTACAACACAATGTTCTACGTTTAGTACCCGACAATCAATTATGTTGCACATTTGCTTAACATTGAATGTTGAGACTACAGGTCTACCCTACTTCAGTGTTCACAAAAAAGAGCATAATGCTAATGCTACGTAAGACACGAAACTTGAGTTTGCTATTTGGATGCCATATAATCACAGGGAAAAACTGCCGATTAGCACAGGTTGTCGACTATCTTCACTGACTGCATTAGCAAATATTATCAGCATAAACTTTGAATATTATAAAGCGTTAAGAGGTTAATGAGTAACTTAATTATGTCTGTAATTAAAAAGAAGGGCGGACTAAAAACTGGAACAAAAACACAACACTCCACTTCATCACACTTAACAACAGTTCACAGAAAGAGGTGATCAGAATAGTGGACGTATCGAAATGGATACGATGAAAATATAAAGAGGAAGGGAAAACCGATGAGGAGTAATGAAATGTTCGAAGTTTGCAAAATGATTTCAAAAAAGAAACAGGTATGCGCCGTTAGGATTGATTTTGAGTAATACCAGCTAGAATAATCAGAGAATAACTATCAAAATAGGTTTCTAATTTAATATAGCGTACCTTATTTTGTACTGTATCAAACAAAAATTCCATCATAGTAAGGAGGACTAAAGTCAGACTACCTAAACATTCACACACGCCTTAGATCAATAATCAGTTCATCAGTTGATACCGCTTGTAATTAGTATTCAATGTTGTTATCCACTCAGAAGGCTGTCACATGACCATGGCGGTCGGACAATGTCACAAGGACTCAACAAGCTAAGCAGGCCGCAATAAATGTTCGTTAAGGTCCAACCACGCTAGAAAGGTCGGTCAAGTAGTCGTACGACTAGAGGTAATCACCACAACGGTACAAAAATTTATTCCAGGATGGGTGTTCGAGAACAAAGACGTTCTGTTGTCAGTAATGAGTGCTGACAGTAAGGTGCTTCCCAAGGATAGTCAGAAATTCACACTGACAATGCTTTCTATCGCAGTAGAAAGAGGTAAGCAAAGGTCGACTTTTAAAAAAGCACACTCCCCTCTTCTACACAGTATTCCAGTGACCTCACCACAGATTTTTGAGCTGGATTCAAAACAAACAAAATAAAATCTAAAACTACTAAGTGGTCTGTGCGTGAACGCCCTTAAGCTAATTTCCCCTAGGCTATACCACTACACTACGACTATAATTCGATATCTTTCGGATGAGAAGTAACTCTTCCTTCACTACGACTTGGGAAGCATCAAGCCCTCTAAAAAGTACGTATAGAATCAAATTCCACCAGTTAATTGTCAACAATTAACATCTTTTCTTAAAATTTCACACGACTGTACTATCTCTAAGACGACTCCATCTTAAATGATATATACCAGGGTTTCAATGATTAACGAAGATGCAAAAGTTCATATGTGGGAGTTTACCCCACAGTCGGCAGCATCACATCAATTGACGCAGAGATGACAAAGTTAGGTGGTTAGTCAGAACAATACACAATTAATACATCATCATCAAAATATATGAGTTTATAAAGCCTTACAGTGTAAGTCACCTAATCAGAATGTCAAGGAATGAGAGCAAAGATAAACACATAAAAGACATTCACAATTGGTTAGTAGTGGCTCTAGTCCTTTCTGATCACGGATACAACAGACTCTCAGTCAATATTCATTCATAAGACAGACAGATTCACTTTGTTCCAGCTTTCGATAAAGACTCAGTTACACCAGGAGAGCATTCCTAGTCTCATGAAATCGAGCCATAAACATGTTAGCCCTCACCGTTTAATCAGACAGCAAGCTTCGCTAACGAAACATCCCACATTCCAATTCACAGCTATAAGGTGTGTTTATGAGACACCCAGACAAGAAACAAGTGCAGTTATTCGCCGAAACTCAGCCTGCTCCTATGATTAATTTGCAGACATCACACCTCATTTCCCAACAGATTCGATGAGTAGTCTTCACAGATATATGTGTTAGGTTAAGGATTAAACAAGTTGTCTCTGTGTAATCTCTCCTCACACACCCAATGACTGCATTTTAGAGGAAGTGAAGGACTAGTTCTACTGAAAACTCTCTAGCCTCCTAGTGACAGCCAAACAATGAGATGTGGTTATTGTGGCCGGCGACATCACTGTGCAGGTGGGAAGGTTAAGGCGAGTAGAAGGGATCTCAGGTAGCACCTTCGGAATCCCAGCTGAACGAAAAAATAACAGCGATGGCCTGCGACATCTGTGTTCAGACAATCTCTTACTTGTGGCCAGCACGAACTTCAGATGTGAAGAGATAAGATATATCTACTATATCTACTACTAAATACGATAACCTGGACAAATCTCATAGGATTTTGTTGGCTCTAGTTGTTGCACTGGTAACGGTACTCTAGAAAAGAAACTAGCGTAAACTAAATTAATAAAAAAATAAGTGGAGGTATCAGGCAAGCATAGAAACACCGGATGACGAAAAAAAACTAACCAACCTTGGGTTCCAGATGTCTTGAATTGATTCGATTCGCAACTCTGTTCTTTTCAGGCCAGGGAGATTTTCTCTCATAGGTATGTAAAGTCTGTGATTCATCTTCTGCATCCGAAGAACAAGGAGGTGTTGCAGGTCGGATTAGTCGATTGAATCATTTCGCATACACGCTTCAGCTTTTATTTTAGCGGAAGGGACTAAACTGTTTCGATTTTCTGTAGGCTGCGAAATCGAAGACATGAGAACTTGCAATCATTTGGACAAAAAATAGTTATTCATGAAGGCTAGATAGAATTTGAACATTATTATGCGACTTTAGTTTGTCAGTCATCTACATTAACCTTGAAAAATATGACCATCGATTCGATCAGAATCCTTTGTAAATGAAGTGGGTTTTACTTATGGCTAGCAGACGAAACCATGATGCACGTTTCGTCCCAGTCGGGATTCCTCAGCTAGGTTTAATCACTTGCTACAATAAACTGGTACTAATGGATAACCAAGATTATTGTTGCTATCACTTCCCTGATGGCTAAACATGAATTATAAAAATTAAAATTTGGAATGTTGATAATAGTTCCTTCCGAATAATGAGCTATACGAACAGTTTACTTTCCTTTATATTTGACGTACTACTCGTAAAAGGACAAACTAATTTTTGCGTAAAAAAATAACCTCATACAAGTTGTATACAACTGACCCGCGAAACCGAATACACTTCGATCGATACCAACCCAACTACCCGGACTCTACAGTAAGGTTCCTAACAGGTCGAAGAATGGGAAGACTCCTATCGACAATCTGTGTTTTAACTACCTTCCTCAATGATGATAATGTACGGAGTTTGCATGATAATAATAATTACTATACAGCATACGACTCGAGATAGTCAGTTTTCCGGGAAAAAGGTCAAATAATTACGACTGACAAAAACCCAACACTATCAACCAATACGTCGGAAAAAAAAGGAAAATTCAACAGGCCACCTTGTGCACATTCGTGCAGTAGACAGTGAGCCAGACTTATTGTGTGAGAGCTATTGATACTACGTGGCTCCTCAAACCTCGGTTGATGGAGCGACGTTGGGACCCATCACCCATTGGTTGGAAGTCATCTCCACAAACCAATGAGCCACAGCTTCACCAACCGCCATGTATGCTGTGTTGTCGAGACAGGCATGCACGATTCACATGTAGCCAGTCACCTACTAGACACCCATCCAACTACCGTAGTCACTTTCTCAATCAAAGAAATAAACATCATCAGCCTAGGATCTGGAATAACTGAGCATCGGTTCGTTACCATAATTAACTGCAGGATAGTAAAGAAAATCAAGAGGACGAATATTGTAGCGATATTTTTTTATAGAGAAGTGAAATGAGGTTTACAGTTAAAAAACTTTATGCGATATTCACGATTTAAACATATTTTATAGTGCCTCAACTCATTGACTTCAGTTGTCTCATGAACCACAAACAGAGTTTACACTCGTCAACCAAGTACTTCATGGATTTAATGTTAAAAACCCCGGTCAGACCCTGATCTTTGATCTATTTGACTAGATCCTTGTGACTGGTGTTTTGAATGCAACGCATATCATATTCTCATTTGTCAGTAATGATACTAACACCATGAAACAACTTATTTATCTTACTTTTAACTTTATTAAGACGTCAATCAGTTAGTTTATGCGCATGCAGTGCAAATGCACTGTCTTCTAATAAATGCAAAATTACTTCTTGTTAAAATGGACAGGAAGATAAATGAGTGGTCAATGTTTCCCATATGGACAAAACATCCATCCTTAACCTTGGCCAAAAGTAGTGTCATTGTTAATTTTATTAGTTCATTATTAATCTTGGTGAAATGTCATGTTATTGGTATTTGATTAGCGTATCACTAACCAGTATCTGAGAAGACAATTCTCAGATAAAAATGGTATCCAATGGTCTAGTTATAAAATAACCATAAAAACAGCTATACAATCGGTTTATTTTCGACTTTTCCCGAGAAAATAAATTTTGCCTTCTCAGTCTTATCTTTCATGTCTTTTAGTAGTGTTGGGACAGCATCATACTGATTGATGCCATGGACGTGTGTCGAAGTGTGGTGGGGTGGCATGGTGGTAGTTATCAATCCACAAACAACTAGCTAGGAGAAATCTTCAATCGAGTAGTATCCACTTGACTCACTTTTAAGATCAATAAATGACATTGAGCTGCTTAGCAGAAGTGGTTAAATGCATCAAAAAAAGTTTCAATATTTAGTATTGAGAAACATTGATCATAATACAATGCAGATCAATAATTACGCATAGCTCTATGTACTAGGCAACGAGCGGTTTCTGCTGTGAACCCTTCCTAAATCACGGTAAGTGACATGTAGCTTGAACCCGTAACCCACTGACTGACAGCTGAATGTCTACTGAAGCAAGTCACATCTTCACTGATACAGTAGTTTTAGACCCCACGTTTTTGTTGCTATCCTAACACAGAGAAAAAACATAAATATAACCAAACTAACCTTGTGCATGTTTACATCACTTTCCGGTTGTTCCATTAACCCATTGGCACATCGTACCGCATTTTGCTGTTGATGCCTGGGATGTCTTACGGCGCGTGCTTGGTTTAACTGTTCCTGTAGTGCACGGGTATGTGCAAGTGTATCAACCATGGATTGTATTCGTGCCAGAAGATTCGGATCAATAACACTAAGATAAAATTGAAAAGAAAGATTGGGTGTCACAATGCATACATACATTCGACGAAAGTCTAAAAGATAACCGAATACTTAATGTGTGTGGAAATTCAAAATGGTGCTTCTTGGAAGATTAACTGTTTTTCATCACTGAATGACATCAGTTGGAAAATCATGGAGAACCTGGTAGTACCGAACAGTTGTTTTTTCCTAGTTCGGGCTTCTCTGTAGTGTTAGCTCATATATGTAGAACAGTGTTGGTCAATGGACGTCATCCCACCAAGAGACTTAAAGGTTTAAAACTGACATTCTCAAGGGATTGTAGGTGTTAAGCAAATGTTCAGTGTTCCTAGGTTATTAATGGTACTCTCCAATGGACTTCAATTTATGCTGGAAATCACTTTGAAGTGTGAATATCATATAAATTTTTTGTGAAGTTTCAACAGAAAATGCATGAGCACATAAAACCTTAAGATGTTTATGAACACCTTCAAAATCCATATCCCGAGTAGAGTAGGGACAAAATATCAACTATATCTAATGTTCGAAACAAAAACGTTTTTAGAGGTAGTATTCATCATGGACTGATATCAGTTGGGAAACCATTGAAAATCTGGGAGCACTGGACAGCTGTTTCGTCCTAGTATGGGACTCCTCGGCAGTACGCACCCACGACCCGGCTAGGGGTCAAGTCCAGGACCTTCATGTTTTCACGGCAAACGCGTTAACCATTCAGGCGCGTACTGCTGAGGAGTCCCATACTAGGACGAAACAGCTGTCTAGTGCTCTCAGATTTTCAATGGTTCCCCAATTGATGTCAGTTCGTGATGAACACTACCTCTAAATTAAAAATCCCCATTCATCTCAAAAAGGTTTTAATTTTTGGTACAGATGATATATTCTTAATAGTGTTTGAAGTTAATGGGTAGTATGGATGTTAACTAGATAAAGATTTATATGCACAGAGGCTTGTCGAATGTACTCATTGACTTGGTTGTCAGTTTCAATACGAACGGTGTATGATTGACACTACTGGGGTAATTCGACAGCGTTGGCAATCGCATGTTACTGCATTCACTTTTAGTGGTGAACCGCAAAGAACAGTCGAGACAATCGTGTATCTCACTGATTGAGTGATTGCTGATGGTATTTAGAAAAAGCCTAGGGTGCCGTTTATCAACCTAAAACACCATTTTTGCATTAACGAAGTTTGTTTGATAGTAAAACACTGTGGTAGGAATGATTCCATTTAACAGATGTGATATCTGACCACTCACAACAACTGGTGGTATTTGACAACACTGCGTGTTCAGATACTATTGTAAACAAAGAGATAAGGAGCAAGAGAGAATAAAAAAATGGAAGTTGGAAAAATGTTCGGAGTTTTAAAAAGTTTGAAGAGTGAGTAAAAACGTGCCATAATGATCTATTTAGAAGTTTCATAACACTGATTCGTAAAATACGTAGTGACAGCGCTCAACCAATGAAAGAGAATTCCAAAGACCTTCTAATAACTCCTGCAAATTGAGTAATTTTACTGATGAATTTATAGATAAAAAGACTCAGCACTACAATAATCAATTATTAGAAAGTTGGTATACCTATTATTTTCATAGCAATATAAAACAAGTCTTTTGTAGTAGATTGAATAGAGAGGTAAACAGTATGACTAGCAAATGGATGGCATGATTCGTTTTGAAGCAAAGCATAGCAAATTATACATACAACGGTGGTAAAGCATTGTATATTTGTACAATGTTTCCAAATGTCGATCTCTAAGCTTCAAATAACTAGCCTCACAGACGGCTGTCTGCCACACAGGGATTGACCGACTCCCCGGAGGTAACCTGGTTGACTTGGAGTTTCCAGATGATATTGTTCTGCTAGGTGAAGACGCTGATGCAATACAGGGTCTTCTGAATGCGTTGAGCAGAAACCTGAATATGTTTGTTATGCGCTTCACTGGCACCTATCAAATGCTAGACGATGCTTCAGGGATGGTCAGTTGCAAGTACTTCCGGTTCAATGATAAGGAGTGAAGAGGTGGAGTCTGTCAACCACTTGCAGTTGCAGTTAGTTTGGCCTGTTCTACAGCTATGAGATATGGCCGTTGAAAGTAGAAGACATGAAATGGTTACTGGGTTTTGATCACAAATGTCTTCGTAGCATTGCTTGCATTTGATGGAATCCCTAGGTGTGTGATGTTGAGGTTGGGGAAAGGATTCCAGGCAAGAAAGATAAGTCAACTGGTGAGGTTGTGAACCTTTATCGGCTGAGGTAGCATGGATATGGACTGAGGATGCCGAATCACCTCCTACCAAGACATGCGATGTTGGAGGAGGTTGGATTAGGTTGGAGGAGGGTTTATGGTGGCCAGACCAAAACCTGAAACCAGTTCATGAAGTCTTTGATTGTAGGTCAGAGTCGTGTGTGATGTTGATTACCTGGTTGACTGAGGTCTGTGAAACCAAAGGGATCAGTGGTTGAGGACTCGTGGTGATATGGCTGAAAATAGGTCACAATGGTGCAGATGTATTCATTACTTGGTGTTTTCTAAAGCTTGAGTATTCGCACCAACCTTCATTTTCAAATTATTTATTCTCTCACACAACCTTGTCGACGTTGATATCACTCTTCTATCCGCCTGTTCTTTGTGTACTACTGTGAAGTGTGGCAACTTAAGCCGACTCACCTGTGTGCGATGTTCTAAGTTGATTTTGTCAGCCAATCAATTTGCTACACGATTCAAACAGATAGTCAACTGAGGGGAAAGCGAGTTTTTGTGAATGCTTGGTACGCAACTATTCTTTTACAGTAACTACACTAGTTGTCCAGCCGGGTCTTATGCAGTCACATGATAGCCAGATGAAACCTTCGAAAAGTAAAGTTAAGACTTGGCAAGCAGCTGATTCTCGCATCTCAGTATACAGAAAGCCATGATGGTAATTCGAAAGTCACTGTTTCGATTCCTGTCGCCACATAGGTTTTTATTTTAACATCAAATCACACCAATAAACCAGGGTTGACTTTCATATTAACTGGTATAACTCTATCAGACAAACCCTTAAACCTATTATCGAAAGACAGTGGTGGTCAACCACCCGTAATCGTATAATAAGCTTTTGACCTTACAAAGCTACCTACTTTAAATCTTCGCTGGCATTTTCATCAGCAAGTTGTGCTGCAGCCGTCTCAGCCCGTCTGGTCAACTCTGACATAAGGATATGAATCTGAGTAAGCACTTCAGGATCGATTGTTTGTTCCTGATTGAGTAAAGCAGACTGTTCAGCAATTTTTTTCTGTAAGGCCTGAAAAAGAAGTGGAAAATTACCCACAATTAGCTTTCTTTGTTGAGATTTTTCATTATAATTATAATTACACCACCAAGCACCCTCAGAGCTTTCTCAAGAATGTTATATATATATATATATATATATATATATATATATATATATATATATATATATATATATATATATATATATATATATATATATATATATATATATATATAAAGTCAAAATGGCAGAGTGACCTTCCTCATTTCAGGTCGCTTGCAGTCATTCCAACCTCTCTAAGTGTTGAAGTGTCTACTTGAATGTCCCACTCAGGATTCCATCTGATAAAGGATAAACAAGGACCAGCTGGAGGTGGTCAGTTAAACAGTTCTTCCAGTGGTCGACCTATCGTTGTAGACCGTCTCTTTGGGCATGCTCGGAATGGTGTTGCAGCTGTATTTTTTCCATGTTTTTCTAGGTGCAGAAATATGTCTGATCACTATAGAAACATTTGGCCTAGAATAGGCAAGTGGATTCTCTCTACCCATCCAGTCTAGTGATAACTGGTATCAATATGATCTGTCTGTGCCCACTATTCAGTGGATGTTGGTGTACGCCACATTAAACAATGTCTCTCTTCATATCTGAAGTTCGTGCTGGCCACAAGTAAGAGATTGTCTGAACACAGATGTCGCAGGCCATCGCTGTTATTTTTTCGTTCAGCTGGGATTCCGAAGGTGCTACCTGAGATCCCTTCTACTCGCCTTAACCTTCCCACCTGCACAGTGATGTCGCCGGCCACAATAACCACATCTCATTGTTGGCTGTCACTAGGAGGCTAGAGAGTTTTCAGTAGAACTAGTCCTTCACTTCCTCTAAAATGCAGTCATTGGGTGTGTGAGGAGAGACTACACAGAGATAACTTGTTTAATCCTTAACCTAACACATATATCTGTGAAGACTACTCATCGAATCTGTTGGGAAATGAGGTGTGATGTCTGCAAATTAATCATAGGAGCAGGCTGAGTTTCGGCGAATAACTGCACTTGTTTCTTGTCTGGGTGTCTCATAAACACACCTTATAGCTGTGAATTGGAATGTGGGATGTTTCGTTAGCGAAGCTTGCTGTCTGATTAAACGGTGAGGGCTAACATGTTTATGGCTCGATTTCATGAGACTAGGAATGCTCTCCTGGTGTAACTGAGTCTTTATCGAAAGCTGGAACAAAGTGAATCTGTCTGTCTTATGAATGAATATTGACTGAGAGTCTGTTGTATCCGTGATCAGAAAGGACTAGAGCCACTACTAACCAATTGTGAATGTCTTTTATGTGTTTATCTTTGCTCTCATTCCTTGACATTCTGATTAGGAAAATGACTGCTTCAGGTAGAATTCATCCTTGGCATTATCCGAACTGCAAACGGTGGGCGTGTATGAGGCAATGACAAATACGCATGGACTAGCCATCATTCGATCCTTTCTAGCTCATGTAGATCCAAGCATTCAGGCAACACATAGATGGCTGTCGACTGGTATCCAGTCAAGAGAACGACGGTGTTGTTCGAATAAACCTTGTGTACTACTACAGGCATGGAGTTAGTGGATACTTGACAGCTTCCCACGCTGCGGAAGTTGTTTCTAAAGGGTACCTGAGAGAGGAATATATTTGTGTGGCCCCAGAGACCATGGGACGCATGCTTGAAGCCTGTCACAGATGGCCTTTCAGAGGTTTGAGATTTAGGTCTGTTGGTATCAAATCAGACTATGAACCCATATCGCCGGAATCGGCATGCCGCGGGGTGGAGTGCCGACCTCTACTAATTCCTCCTTCCCATAGGGACTATTAGCGTGGGGCTTCTGGTTATCTATGGGGAACACCTTGTTCAACCTGGAGTACGACTTTGCCCTCAGACCTCATCACAACGTAGTAACTTACATTATAGTGGTAACCGCTTTTCGTCTTACCAGTATTTAACTGACCTTCCCGGGATGACAGAGCCTCGATGGAACAAGCGTTCACTCATGAGAAATATACCAATCATTCTCATACTTCTATTCAGGGTGTCCAGAAGACTTTGACTTTGACTCTTCTCAGCCTCTTCATCTAACACGAGTGTTATCTGCGTACTACAGATCTACTCGGGAGTCTCACGTGATAAAATCAATCCCATTACCCTGACAAGAAAGTGGAGTTCTCTGTTAGCACGACCGTCACGAAAATAAATAAAAGTGAAGAGAGTGAACATTTTCGACGGACACCACTCGACTCACACAGTTCACCTGGTACCTCAACACATACTCTAAAACACCTACCGGTTTTCCAATAGAGCTAATGTAAAAGTGTGGTGTACCTATTCGACACCTGTTATAATGCAAGACACTGCCATAAGTCTCCTCGATCGACGGAGAAGAATGCTGCCATCAGGTCAAAAAATACAACCACACAATGGATAGTTCTCGTGGTCTTGTAACTGTAGGTATGGAATGGAGTACTAGGGCACAAAGTGAACTCAACTGGATGCTACCGGACACTCACTTATGCGCTGTCCGACTGAATGTCATAGGGAGAACTAAAAAGAATCGTTAAAATTGTCCCTGTCTCTTTGTAATCTCTGCTCAAGCACCACTAACTGCAGTTCGGAAGTGATGGATGTCCTGCCGAAAACTGTCTAGCCTCTTGATGAAAGCTAAGAGTTTAGAAGTGGTTACTGTTGCGGATGACTTTAATGCACGAGTGGATAGACTAGGATAGATAGAAAGGCTCTTAGGTTCCACCTTATGAATCGTATTTGGACGACTAGATAGTGCTGGTCGCCTTTTACAAACATACTCAGACAACCATCTGTTTTCGGTCAGCACGAACTTCAGATGTGAAGAGATACACTATGTGACGTGGCATCCGACTTCAACCCAGTGGCGGACACAGGTATGCCATATTGCCATCAGTTATCGCCGGAGGCTCGGTGGGAGATTGCCGCTCCTCCCAGAATACGAGCATGAACAGCAACCACGCGGTGGTTCAGCCGCGTTTGTCTGCGCCTAAACGGACGTAGAACTATGGCAACAAGACCACTGAGTGCGACTCGACAATGAGAGCACGAAGACTGCTTTCAGTGAGAAACTGGTTACAGTTTCTGGAACAACAATCGAACAGAAGATGTCTGGAACCACCTCCAGTCTGTTGTCGAAGTAGAGTTGAAGACGATGGCCTCAGTTAAAAAGGACCAGCGGGTCTCAGCAGCTAATTCTGAATTAATAAATGCACGCCCACGCATCCATGAAGGCTCTAAGCACTATGAGGAGCGGAGGGAACTCAAATGTAGACTGACAAAAGGTCAACGCAGTGACCACGAACAGTAGTGGACACTGAGGGTAAAAGAAATGGGAAAGATAGTGGCAATAAGTAATAGATAATTATTTAAACTTATCAAGGAAACTGGGGCGAAAATGTCAGTGATTAGTGAGACTATAACGGAGAATGATGGGTCTGTGATTTACTCACAGGAGACAACGGGGACGAAGGATGGAACACTTCGACGAACTGTTCAACTAGCCCCCAGCTACTATTGCGTTACCCGCCATGCAGTCGGCTACTGAGTGCAACCTAGAGATGAGACTTCAGCATTTACAGAAGTCAGTAAACAAGCAGTGAAACGAGAAAGAGCTGAAGGGCTAGGCGGACTAGTTTCAGTGGTATTTAGGGATTGTGGTCGTGCACTACTGGTCAGGTTAACTGGTGTTAGCTAGTGTACGGGAGTCAAGCATAATCTTTTCTGGTTTTAATCAATGTCCCAGTTTTCACGAAAAGTGAGAAATCTTGTGATAACCACAGGGGAATCAACCTGACGAACACGGTGTCCAAGATTCTGGGTTCTATAATCAATAGACGTCTGAGTAGAGCTTAAGAACAGCAAACCCGAGAAAACTAGGAGGGCCCTGGGTGCTTCGACCATATATTCAAACTGTCATACACTGGAACACACGCATACTTACTGATGCCCGACACCAGCTGTATTTCTTGACCTTAAGGCAGCATTCGACTTTAGCGATCGAGAGGCGTTATGATGGTGCTTCTCACTGAAACGTTTGTCGAGTAGGTGCAACACTTCGTTGGAGGCTGTGCACTTGAACAACCGAGGGGTGTTACGCCCTATGGTCAGTTGTTAGGTGAACTGTGTACATCTAGTTGAATCCGTATAGGATAGTCACTTTCTCCATTCTTATTCAATTTTATCAGACATACTCACGGGTGTCTCCACCTGGTTGTGTAATTTCATGGGGACTGGTCTCATTACTGAATCCTCAGTAGATCACGAACACGTAAATAACATAATCTTCTTAGGTGAAAATGTTGACCAGACCCAGTCTTCTGGGCACATTTGGTGACAATTTGAGAATGTTTAGGATGCGTTTCTCGTCACTCGAATGTAAACTGATACTACAGAACTGGTCTTCAGTGGTGTCCCGGCTAACAACAGGGTGAAGTCGCTGTGTTGAACACTTCACTTACCACCTACTCCCGCCGGATCAGCCCTGGTGGGCAAGTAGCCGAAGAAATACCTGCACGGATGCAAAAGGTTGGACTGGCTTTCACCGACCTACATTATTCGTGGGGCCGCCGCGATATCCGGTTGCTTATGAAGAGCCGAGTGCAGTTCACTCTGTTCTACTGCATACCTGTGAAACATGACCATAACAAGCATAGGACATAAGGCTCCCGGTATCTGACCGCAGTTGCCTCTGTAGCATAGACCACGTGTTTTGGTGTCACGCAGAAGCCAGGTGTAGGGTTTGAGAGAGAAAAGAAAGTTCGGGCAGCTGTGAATATTCATTAGCTCAGGTGGCTGGGACATGTATTTAGGCTGGATAAAGGTTAGAGATAGCTAGGCTAAAACATGTCATCAGTGCATGGAGTCTTTATTTATTCATCTTTTATCTTATTGCTTTGTTACTTGGTGTGTTGATGTGTGTCAACTTAAAGCGTTACGCAGTAATGCTTGGCCTTAAGTTGATACTGATAATATCTGGTCCCGCGTTGTCGTTCTTTTCTGATGTAACAAAAAGCGTACAACGGAAGCTTGGTGTCCTGTTTGGAGCACGGTTTCAGATCACGGGTGCTATTCTGCGAACTTTGATAATTATCAAGGAATGAAGAGCTGAAACAAAGTCTTGGGGATGAATACTGACTGAGATGGGGGAATAAATTAGAAGGCAATAACCATTAGGGATATTAATGATCAGATGGGATTTGGTGGCTAACAGGATAGTCATATCTCAATTAACCAATCACAGTTCGTGGTAGACTCGGAGACGACTGCTAGTATACAAATACGACTGCTTCCGAAGTAGATAAGAACCAAAAAGCTACTATTCGCATACATCACATGTTGATTGAAGGATTTTCGTAAACACCAACGAACCGCCTTTCTACTTACCCGAGTAACCACTAAGTATAAGGTTTTCTATGAAGCAGGCCTACCATCCTAGGATCGCCTACCACTTGACCGGCAAAAATTGGAGTATACCGTTGTCTTCATTACCATCCTGAAGTAATATCGGTAAACCTGTAAGCAAACTCGAGTTATCTGAAAGTCATAACTTTTTCAGACAGAGTGACAGAAATGGAACCAAATATTTGTGCATTTATGCGATAATGATAACAAAACTTACTTGTAGTTGTAGCAACTGGACCTTAGCACTCGTGTTTTTCTGAGTGCACTCTTCGATAACCTCAGATGCTGACATCATACTGTCTACTTTTGGTACACAGTTATCTACATTTAGGTGTACTTCTGCAGCAAGTGAAGAAGGGATTGCAGGATCAATGACAGTATTTTTAGCAGGATGTTTACTCACTGATTCACTGACAATTTCCTGGGCTGAAAAATTGGTTATAAGGTTCATAACATTACCTTCTTCCACAACCTTGGAATTATCAGGATCCGATATAATATTATGTAGGGCTTCTAAAACTTCACTCGGGTAAACAGAACTTTGCTGCCACAAGTACAGTAACTGAGTTAGGAGAGGTTTGTCCTTTTCATCACATTGCATAACGGATACGAAAGTAGAGACTAGATTTCGGAGGAATCTGGGTCCATAAAGATCTTTTTCTTGATAAAAGTACTTCGACTGTCTAACAATGGCATCGATAACATAAAGCCCTGGTAATTTAAACTCCGGAGAACATTTAGCGATAAATTTTCGACGCTTTGTACAATATGCTTGTAAAACTTCAACGCCCTTATAGCAGCCCTTGTTATTGAAGCCATTTTTGCCCTGGAAACAGGCAACTTTACATCTAGCAGTGATCTTAGCTACACAAAGT